AGTTAAGTAGTTGGAAAATTGCCATGAAATGTGTTGTGTTTGGAATTCAAGAGAATTGTTTGAATAACAATTTTTATTAAGGAAAACATGGAAAACTCAATGGAAGTTGTTGTCGATTCACTTTTGATAACAATCTACTGAATTAATCCACTGATAAGCAAATTAAGTCAGCGAGAAACGCTTTGCAAAATAGTGTTGACTTACAGTCTTAGCACACTATGAATTTTGAATGAATACTGCTCGATTTTGCTCGAAAGGGTTGCCAGATTCTGGCTGTTAAAATTGGCGCCAACCTTTTTCTTCTCTTTCTGTGTCGTTTTAACCCTTTTTTCTCTTCACAATTTCTTAGAATAAATTGTAAAAATATCATAGAAGATTGCAAAAAAAGGCATAGGAAAAAAATCATTGACACTTCTGTCAAAATAACTGATAAAAAACTGCAATATTTGTGGTGCCAGATGGAAATTTGTGCTATTTTGAGGCAATTTTCCCTTTTAATGTGCCAAACTGAGTTGAAAGCACTAAATAAATTATTGTCTCTCGTTTTAGACTATTTTCAGCCGAAAACAATGCATGGAAAAAATCATTCATGTGCTGTAAAGCGGTTATAGAGTGAGTCTATTCAATTGTTCATCACTGTACGAGTTATTATTCAGGCGCTTTGGGCGTATTTCTCAGAATAACTCTGAAGTATTGACACCAAATTATCAGAAAAAATCTATATTATCGATTCATTTCTGGAGAAACTATCACGAATTCCCGAATCTATCTTCGAGATTTTCTTACAACCCAACTTTTACAAGCTTCCGAGAGAGTGGAGAAATCCGCCTTGAGAAATCTTTAAGAACTTCCGCCCCCTCCAATATTTCCGACGTCTAATTAAATTTGCATGTCCGGAATCTCCATATCTTTTGGGCTCCATAAATTCATTTCGGGCCAATTAATTAAATTCTCGCCAACAGTATCCATCTTTCCCTCCGCTCGAAAGCATGAATTATAGACGAGATAAATCTCCTGGAGTTTTTTTTCCCTTAAAATCAAATGGCACATCAATTATTTCGCAGGCGAATTACAACTGCGCCCTTGCCGCGTGTCAATCAGTTGAAATTCAAATCCAATTTGCAGGCGCTGGGCAGTATATAGTTGGGGTGTTTGGGCGTTGGAATGCATCCAAAGTGGAGTTTAGCTGCCGCGGGGTGCACTTTATGAATTATGCACAATTTGTTAGGGACTTTCCAGCCCTTGTTTACCGGATATCAGTGTGTGTGTGTGTGTGTCTAAAAATTCACCCCATTTTGGCGGGATTTTCCCCCACACTTCGCATATCGATTTCGGACGCCGCTGCGAGTTGGGATGCTGGCCTAAATTCCTCACACAAACCATCATTTGGAAGCTTGACGGGAGCTTTTGCTCTTGTGCAAAACTCACACTCACGCAAGCGTTGCCAATCCAGAGAGCGAGCGGTACATGAGCGGGGTAGTAAATGACTATATAAGCCCGGATGCGGGCTGTGGGTGTGTGCGTGACGCCACCCCGAATCTCTCCTCGTACACAATGAAAATTTTTGGGGAGAAGCTTTGGATTCTGTGCCTCTGAACCCAAGCCAAAAATGGCGGGTAAATTTCACCATTGATTTTCAATTATTCTCACTTCTTTTCGCCACTTACAAAGTCACACACACACACACTTTCCGGGGGTGGCTCTCGAGGGGGGATGGCTTGCAGCCTCTGGGGTGTGTGTGCAATTGGGGCGTCCCCAGGAAGGCCTCAGTTTGCAAACACTCTGATCGCTGCTGAGCTTTTGGGCGGGTGTTTTTTCCTCTCATTTCTCCCTATCGCGGATAATAAATGTGGTAAAAAACGCAGGAAAATGGTTTACCCTGTGGCTTTTGGCGGGAAAAAATTGAGCAGCTTCGACAGCAAGATTGTGCCTCCCCAACAGGAAGAAAAACGCCCGAGTTCACAACACTCGCCACAGACTCCGACTTCGGTGAGCTTTAAATGAAAACTGTGGCAGTGGAATTTTCTCTCTTGCAGCCACCCACTCGAGAATGGGGATCCTGAGGCGCGCATGAGAGAAATGAGATAGAGCATTTCGACGGGTGCGTACGAAACTCCGCAGCAACTTCCACTCAAACTTCCTCACTATTCTGGCCTGGCATCGCTTGAATATTGCGAAAAATGACTTTTATCAAATAAATCTTGAAAAGCTTCAGAATATTCTCAAATTTCCCATCTGAAATGACAATATTCTTAGGGAATTATCACATAACGATAAGTTATTGAACTTATCGACATTTATCGATACGAAATGCGTAAAATTTCCTTGTTTTTAATCTTAAAAAACCTTTGAAAGGCTGATAAGAATTAAATATTTCTTCAGTTGCTTATTTTAACTACTTTTCTCACTTAAATTGCGTTAAAACTTGGTTAAAATTAATTATCGATAACTTATTAAAATAATAAATCTTATATAATTCTTGAAATACTTCTGAATCTTCTCAATTTGTCCATCCAAATTGATAATATTCTTAGGGAATCATCCCATAACGTTGAAATGCCGATGAGTTATTGAACTTATCGACATTTATCGACAAGAAATGCTTAAAATTTCCTTTCTATTGACCTTAGAAAACTCTAAAAAGGACTGATATGGATTAATTATTCAGTCAATTGCTGATTTTAACTATTTTCCTCCTTAAAATTGCGGTTAATCTTGGATAAAATTTATTGTCGATAACTTATAAAAGAAATAAATCTTATGAATAAGTGGAATAAGTCTTGAAAAGCTTCTGAATCTTCATAAATTTACTATTTAAATTGATAATATTATTAGGGAATTATCCCATAACGTTGAAATGCCGATAAGTTATTGAACTTTTCGACAATTATCGACAAGAAATGCTTGAAATTTCCTTGTTTTTAACCTTAAAAACCCTCAAAATTAGACTGATAAGGACTATTTACTCCTTCAATTGCTCTTTTTAACTACTTCCTCCCCTGAAAATTGCCTTAAAACTTGGCTAAAGATCATTGTCGATAGCTTAAAAACCAGTTGAATTCGACGCTTAGACTGAGAATGACTGGAAACGACAATTTTGCCTCTTTATAGTTCTCTGCGCAGCGTGCGATTTGGAGCAATTTCGGGTGCGGGCTTCGGTCTCTCGCTCATCGTCGCGAGGGCAAGAAATCATGTTTGTACCCCACATTCTCTTATCATTATCGCACGATACTATATTTAAAAGTTGCTCTTTGTCAACCTGAGATGCTGGCGCGAAGCGAAAGCTTTTCTCCCTCGGCAAATCACGACAATCTTCCCACACTCTCGCCGAGTGACTTCTTTTTTTGGATGATAAAACGAAGAAAGAATTCCATGCACAGCTAATATTTGCATAGAAAATTACACTCTCGGGGGATTTACAGGGTCGTAATAGATAAAGATGCGAAAAAAAGAAGTAGAATCTGCCTACAATTTGGCAAATCGGAAAAGTCATCTTGCGGAGCACAAAGAAAAACCACTCCAAACTTTCAAATTCCAGCTCACGCCCTTCTCTCACGGTGAAAATCCAGAGAGAGAGAGAGAGCGAGCAAAATTCTCTCCGAGAGAGAGACGCTTTTCCACGCAGGGAAAAAGAAGAGGAACTCTCCTTATCATCCTGGCCTGGGTAATTCTATTTGGCAATGTAATCAAAGCGATACCTCCTCATGAAGCTGCCAATTTGTGGCGCCTTTTTTTCCTTCTCGCTCTCTTTGGGACTTTCTCCGGCGATTTGTGTCTCAATTCGCTGGGAATTACAGCTAATCATCGTTTTTAATTTTGCAATTCCGCACCAGAGACACCGGAAGTACTTAGTCAAGCTTCCGTTTACAACACACACTCTAAAGCGGGGAGGCTCGAAAAGAGAGCAGAAAATCCATATTTTCCTCAAAAGAGAACAAGAAGAAGAAGAAGCAAAAAATGTATGTAAAACATATTTTTCCCAGTTGCGAAGAGAGAAGCTGAAAACTTTAATGCCCGAGACACTGACTTAATAGGGCGAAAATGCCACATGTTCTTATTCACTCTTTCTCTCTCTCCTTTAGAATTTGCATTGTTACAGTGACTCTTCACGAAGAGGACTTTCCGCTCCGCTCGAGAGTTCTTCAGATTTCCGCCCAAGCAGTGGCGTAGACGCAAGGATTCACTTCCAGGCAGAAGAGTTGATAGCAATCTCCCTGGAACCGCACTGTCTAATAGTCGCTGTTGTCGCACGACTTTACATTGGATAAATCGGCAGAACATCCAACGTGGGACAAATTAGCGATGATTCTTGCCAAATGTCGTACGATACAATGATGGATATATCATGGATGCCAACTCTAACTCGCGCGTTTCTCAGCGTTACCCTCAGTGCTGCCTCTACCGTCAAATAATGCTAACAGCGAGATTCTCGTCAGAAGGAGAAGGTCGCCATTTTGGGTGAATTCGACTTACAATATGCTATTTTGTGAGATAAATTGACAAAGTTTTCCGTGTCGCCATTTTACAATTTGCTCTTACAGCTGTCAGAGTGAATTGAGGATCCAGAAGTGGTGAATATATTGCAGAAAAAGGTTTGTAAATTATTATTAATTTATCAGAAAACCACTCGAAGTGTTCTTATGCAGTGTTTGCAATAGAAATTACAAAAAAAAAAATGCAGAATAATTTAGTGTAAAATCAGACAAATGATTTTGTGATTAGAAGAAGTGTTTTCAGTGGAATTTTTGGAGATAGAGGAAGCTTCTGAGATTGCCCGGTATCTGTACTTCGGGAGGAAACTTTATTCTTCTAATGGAAAGTGAGTTTGTGGTCAACTCATTTTCAAGGACGTCCGGGAGTGTCTTCTGTTAAGAAGTCAAGAGAGAAGTTAAGAGTCTCTAATCGACAACAGACTCCCGGGCATCGGCAAGACGTGGGCAGATCACTTCGACCAGCTGAAGGAAAAGCTGTAAACTGTTTTAAATAAAAATCTACCCGTATTTTTGATCTTTTAATTTCATCATAAGAAAATCAAGCTCGTTTACACTGGGTCGTATGACAAGTCTCTTATGTTGTCTCACGTGTTCGTTGGAATTACTTGGTATTTTTCTTATCTCTTGTTGGGACAAACACAGTGGAAAAACATGAGACATCGTACGACACGCGCTTCCAGGGCGCTCTGTCCTCACTACGTCACTGCCTCAGCCTCTCCGCCTTGAGAGCAGAGACCGCAATTCTGACTCTCCACTTTAATCCCTAACATGAATCTTAATTAATCTGAAAAGTTATCTTGTTCAGGAAACACACGGTCGGAAGAGATTTTTGGCATAATTGAGCAAGAACTTTTCTCCTTTATTGCACTCTCAGAAGTCATTCTTCACTGAATGGGCATTGAGTCTACTCACGAGGAGCTTCTCGTGCTCCGCCATCATTCTGACGCCCTTCGACTTCTTGCCGATGCCCAACTTCGGCAGGCCCTTGTTGAGTCCCTCGAGTAGCACGCACGCCTTGCACGGCTGCTGGGAAGAGACAAAGCCACAGCGCTCGCAAGTTCCTCTCTTTGGCATCTTCACGGCGTCCCGGAAGGCGAGTTGCTCGCCTGAGTGAATGATGTCCACGATCACGCTGGGCCGGATGCGCTCCAGGTCTTTCAGAAACGCCCTCGCGTGGCCCCTGTACGCATTGGGGGCGAAGATGCACTCGGTGGAGAAGTACACGAGTCGCCGGAAGTGCGCGTACATCACGATCTCCTTCTCGTACGCGTACTTCAGCGGCTTCACGCGCGGAATTGAATCATCGCCGATGGTCTTCACGTCCGTGCATCGCCGGAGACGCGCTGTGTCGCCCCTCAAGATGTTCATGAGCACCGTTTCGGCGATGTCGTCCGCATTGTGACCCGTGGCGATGCAATCAACGCCCAAGAGCTTCGCTCCTCTGTCCAGCGCCTGCCTCCGGAACACTCCGCAGAACGTGCAGTTGTTGCTCCGGCCAATTTCGCCCACGATCCTGTCCATCGTCCAGCCGTAGAGCTCCTCGTAGGAGAGAATCTTCAGCGGCATCTCGTAATCATCACGATTCCTCTTCACAGTCTCCAGACTGTCGTCTCGATAGCCTGTGATGCCCTCGTCAATGGACAGCAGAACCAGCTTCAATCCGTACGCGTGGCGCTCATTCAGCGCCTTCATCACATAGGCCAACACTGTGGAGTCTTTCCCACCACTAGCAGCGATTGCCACGGTCTGTCCCGGCGAAAAAAGAGCATTTTCCGTAATCGTGTGATGAACTTCAGCCTCGAAGGCGGTCAGGAAGCAGTCTCGACACAGTGGATCCGCAGTTTTGGGGCGCTAACAAGAGAAATGGTCAAGTATTTCACTCCAATTTGATGGTCACACATCTCACCTTTATGCTAGCCTTTTGGCCGCATCCGGTTTTGCATAAAACAGGCATTTATCCGCAAGAAATCCCAAGCAAAACACAGTCAAAAATACAAAAATATCAAAAACCATCAAAACATCAATTCCACGTGAGTCACTTTCCCGCCGCCAGCGCCGCCAATACGCTCAGCACAGAACAATTCATCGCAGTGGAAAATTGATTGTGAGGTTAGGAGACGTTGTTTATGTTTTGATTGCTTGGTGAAAATTCAGCAATTTCGGCGATGGCAGAGGAAAACGACAACTCTTGTGATAAATTCGACAATGACACTTGCAAGCCGGACAAGATGTTCACCCTGAAGAAGTGGAACGCCGTGGCGCTGTGGTCGTGGGACGTGGAATGCGACACTTGTGCAATTTGCCGAGTGCAAGTCATGGGTGAGTTTTCCTCAATATTCCCTCTATTTTCCACAAAATACCTGCATTTGATGGTTAAAGAGAGTATCTAGAGGTTGTTGAACCGACAAAAGTAGAATTGTGCGGAAAATAAGTCCAGATATGCGTGTTTATGAACGTCTTGAAGGGCTTCCGGAAAGATGTCCTGAAAAGAAGCTTTCTTTTCTCGCTCTCAAATCTCAAACCAAGAAAATTTCAGCAAAAAAATGTACATCGTAAAGATTAGGTAATAAAATCTCACATTAAACCACGATTAAGTGGCATTTCAAACGGTTGAAGATAAGAAAATCTGTTTGGCAACTGAAGTCATTTGAAAGTAGGGGAAGACGGGGAAGTTTTGAAGTGGCAATTGAAGTTAAAATTGCTGCTTGGATTAATAAAGCTTCCAGAAGTTACTGAGTTATAGAGGGTTTTATTAGATCCAAAATTCTGGAGCAATTCTCAGCCACACACAAAATGTTAAAAATTTGTTATATTGGTTTAACACACGTCTTTGCTTACTCTGAGTCACACGTAAGGCTTAAAATGGCGCTTGTGTTTGCTATTCAGTCCATCACGTTTTAAACCATTTTGTATCGTCTGAATGTGTAATTTTAACACGACCTCCAGAGGTTGTTTTAAAGAGAAAATGAGTGACAGATCTTAATCTGCAAATATCTTGCAAAAATGGATCAATCTGTCATTGAAGCTCCAATTTTCAAGGATAAACATGAAAGATATTTACAATAAATTCTTTTTATCATGGATTTACTAATTATGAACTTGAATTTAAAAATTTCTGCCAAAATTCACAATTTTTCCTATCTTACACATTTTGTGGTGGCGCTTAAAACTCTAACACATTGTTTTTAGCAAGAATAGCAAGGAATGTTTTTCCTTATTCACTTTGAATGTTAAAATTTACACGTTTGAAGTTTAACATGTCTGTGTGTGACTCAGAATTGCTCCATTCATTCCAAATATGATGAAAAATGTGTAAACGTTTCCTGACTGGCGCTTTTTGTCCTATTTCTTGAGGCTTTCATAAGACAGTGAATTGAACTTTATCTCTCTTTCGACAATCGTGGAATATTTCTCGGAAAAATATGCCTTTTTCTCAGAATTTTGCTGGTAAATATTGGGAAAATCCAGCGAAATTGAGTCACAAAGCTGTTTTTTTTCCTTCATGATAAAGTAAAATTTAATCTCAATGAAGTTTTTGTGTTCAATAAAATGTATTTCTGTGTTCATTCAATACAGCATTACAGAATAACCTTGATTATGCATATGTTGATAATTTAAATATGTTCTCTAGATTATTTACAAATATTTCTTCTCACTATTACACCAAGAAATTTTCTTTAATCGCCTAGAAAAGGGTTTTCGTAAATGGTATAGTTTGGCATAAATTAATTTTGGATTTTCCTCTCTGGCACTTTTGTTCTTTTTGCATTAAAATGTCCACTTTTCATTTATCTAATAAAAAAAAAATTACATGACTATAAATAATTTCTTTTTACTACATTTCAACTCATAAGTAAAATTGTATTTAGAGAATGATTTTTTTTAATATATATATTACAAAATATAACAACGTAAATCTAATTTGCAAATTTATACTAAAGTCTTTTCATCTTGTGGTTGTGAAACTAATTATATTTTGTAAAGCAAATGAAATAACATAAATTTTCTTTCGTATCCTTTGTCATGGGGTTACGGGCTAAGTCACTTATTAATGTAATAAGAAAAAAGGAGGAACTTATAGGCTTTACAACAACATATTATAAATTTTTTCTTCTATTTTTTACTATAATGCCTAGAGAGATTCATTCCCAATGTTCATTTGCTTTTCTTCTTCTCTTTCTCCTTCTCTTTACGTATAAAATCTTTGCTTTTCTCCATATATTTGCATTGTACGTCGATAAGTACAAAAAGGATCGGTGTTTTGTGTGTGTGTGTTTGTTTTTCTCAATTACGAATAGTGCGTATAAAAATGTCTTTTTTTTCATACAAATTGTACCTAATTTTTTTTTGTCACATTAACATTCAAATTTACTAATAATAATAAAAATTTTGGTATCAAATTTTCACCACGAGTTTCCCATTAAAATCTTGCATCACAAAAAATGTACACATTTTACTAATGATAAAAGACTCTCCTAAAAATATTTCCGTAGATAAAATTTTTCTTTCTCAAAAATATATTAAGTTTTCTCTCAATTTTTTCTCCTCGTTTTCTTTTGTCAAAAACATTTTTCTAACACTTAGTAAGGCAATTTGTTTCTCATCGAGGTACGATCTTGATTTTTGTTGTTGTTGTTTAGAAAAGAAAAACAATAATTGCGTAAATTCATACCCAAATGTGGGTTTGAGGATTGACACGTTTAAAGCACCTTTCGTGAAGGCTTCTTGACCATTAGTTTGGTCTACATGTTGAATGACAGTGGCTTCATGTTGGCCACTGAACTCATTCTTCGCACGCGACCCATCATCTTGCGCTCGATGTCCTCGAGGGACTTTCCTTGGGTCTCCGGCACGTAGAAGATGATGAAGAAGACGCCAACGAAGCAAATCCCGCCGAACATCCAGAAGGCACCGTGTTGCCCGATTGATTCTGCAAGAGGAGGCAAAAGCATGAATAAATTGATTTGTAGATTTTATGAGTTTGGGGACAAACAGTCATCGTAGCGACCGACTAGGCACATTTTGCCCATTGTGTCACTGGATTCGATGAATGAGCAGATTGACTAGTATTATTTTTACAGTGACAGATTGTCAGTTTGCCGACCAACCATAAGTGATTCTAAACCCCACCTTATATACAGGGACAGAGCGCAAGACAACTTCAGTGAAGCGTATGTTTCATCTGGAACATTCAACAGCAACTTAGACAGAAAGACTTATTTTTTGCACTCTGCTGTGTTCAAACATTTGCAAGCGATGGGATTTAAACACACGACTGTTGCATTGGGAGTCAAACGCGTTGACCACTGAACCATAGCCGCTCTTAGTTACAATAGTTTAGTTTAGTCTGAGTTGGCAGTGTCTGAGACTTTAAGGGAATCCCAGAGCACCTTTGGATGAAGGCCTCCGAGTTCTCCAAGCACAGGAAAGTCAGTGCAAAGAGGAATGTCCAGAACAGAATGCATCTACTCTGGGCTACCAGACAACGGCGGCAAAGGACACAAGAGGCTTTACCATGGCAGTACAGATCAAATACACAATAAATTGATTTAGAAAAAGCGCTTTCGCCTAAACTTACCAACAAGATCCACGAAGGCTTTCGTGACGATGAAGGTGCAGAGCCAGTTGAAGGCGGTGGCGACGGAAGCTGCCGAGCCACGGATTTTCCCGGGCAGGATTTCACCCATCATGAGCCATGGAATGGGTCCGAAGCCGAGACTGAAGCCCACGACGAAGACCACGAAGCTGGCCAAGGGCAGCCATCCCACATTGCTCACGTCCGTGCCGTGATTCTTCAGATAGAAGAATGTGCCGAGCGTCATCAGTGTGATGATCATGGCGATGTCGGAGATGTAGAGCAGAACTTTGCGGCCCAGGCGATCGATGAGGATTGTGGCGACAAAGACAGCACCGAAGTTGACAATGCCCACAATGATGGTGCAGAGATTCTCGTCGATGGTCGATCCGGCGTCCTTGAAGATCGTCACAGTGTAGAAGATCACGGCGTTGATGCCGCTCAACTGCTGGAAGAACATCAGACCCAGGGAGATGAGCAGTGGCTTCAGGTTGCTGCGCTGCAGAAGGTCTCGGATGGCGTTGCGTGAGGCTGATCGCTCGGCTTCATTGGCGGACTTCATGATGCCCTTCAATTCGGGCTCCACGTCGGCTTCCTTGCCGCGCAGCCACTGCAGCGCCTTGCGCGCTTGATCTTCACGACCGCGCGACACGTACCAGCGCGGCGTCTCGGGAATGAGGAACATCAGGATGAGAAAGGGAACTGGCAAGGCGCCGCCGAGGAAGGCTAAGCTTGACCAGTCCAGGTATTTGCCGGTGGTGAAGCACAGCAGAATGCCGATGTTGCCGAAGGCCGTCGGCAAGAGGCCCAGAGTGCCGCGCACTTCGGGCTGGACAGTCTCACCGAGGTAGACGGGAAGGGAGAGTGAGGCGATGCCCACGCAGAAGCCGGAAAGAGCTCGACCGGCGAGCACCATCCAGACGTTAGAAGCGCAGGCGATTAGCAGCCAAGAGACGATGAATGGAATTGCCGTGCCGAGGATTGTGTTCTTCCGGCCGAGGTACTCGATCAGGGGTCCTCCGGATATTCCGCCCGCCAAGCCAGCCAGTGGCATTATTCCACCAACCCAAGAGGCCTGGAAAAGATGAGGCAGTTTAATGAGTTAGAGTTGACCAATGGGTCGTTGCAACTTAACGCTTTCATAGATTATATTGGTGGCCGTCCAGCAGCGCTAGTATAAAGTACGAATGAAATACGAACGAGAAGGCGTTGCAAGGCAAAGTTGGGAGAATTTTTATACGAATTTCAACTGTCAGAAGCCGAAAAGTGTGTTTTAAGGCACCATTTTCAAACTTCCGATCAGTTAGCAAATGTTCTTCAGTGTAAGAAAATCGTTTTTGTTTTCGTGTTCCTCTGAAACAAATCTCAAGGAACTTTCAAGAGAAGAAAAATATGATTTGCCTTCGTAATCTTGCGACGCCTTTTCACTCATTCATATTTTTGACGGCTTATTTAAAATGGTATGAAAGTAAAGTTGCAACGAGACTCAATTCTGCTCTACATGATCTTAAAATCGCGCCTTTACCTGATTGATGTCCATGTCGAAGGATGTCTGATTGCGGTCCAGCATGGAGACCAAGGCTGGCGAAGTGTAGGCCGATGCGAAGCCCACCACCATTGATCCCATGGAGACGGAGAGCGCAGCGAGGATCTGAGGAGGAGGCGATCATTAATCAATGATAAAGTGGGGTTGCTTTGGAGGCGACGACATGAGAGTGCTGCGCCTCGAATCTGACCTGCGATGTTGTGCACTTGGCCTTTGGCTCCTCAGCCGGAAGTGCAAAAGACACATGAGTGTCTGCTCTCATGAGTATTTTCATTGCGACAGTTTAAAGTGGTTCCCTTGTGTTGTGGACACACAAATTGAGATGTGAGCCAAATTTGATGCTCAACGGATGTGTTTTAAATTGCACTGATTGTCGGTGGATTGCCTTCTTTTTCTCTGTTGTTTATTTCTGGACACACTCTTGAGATGGCATAAATTAAAGTTGTATATAATGAATCACAACTGGGGTGGAATGAAGGGATGGGGAGAGTTGTTCAACAATGAGTGGAACGCGCGGTGCACGAAGGAAAAGTCCCAGAATTGCACTGATATGATTACACTAAATTAAATTTAATAGCATCACAGAGTTGAATAATTTGCTGGAAATACTCTGAATGTCGAGAGAGAGTGAGCAAAAATAACAACTCTCCGAGCGCTTCTTTGTATAATCAAAACTCTGAGTGTTTGTGACGATCGCGCCTATTGACAATCGTGATTTCCCTCAATATGTTTTTCTCCACAGTGAATTGAGGAACTTATCGGTGGGGTAAATTTTTTTTTTCTTTCCATTAAAAGATCCCATGCTGTTGTTGATGAAAAGCGCGCGTATCTGGATTGAGCGGGACATGAGGTCTGAATGCTCTGACTTCATCAGCACTCTGGCGCGTGCTATTGGTTTCTCATACAAAAATAAAGGGACAGATTCCAATATAAAAGGAGTTACTCAATATCACGACGAGCAGTCGTGCTTGTTGGATAGTTTTAAATTTCCCTCCTGCTGCAAAAGCGAGGATAGTGATTTGTATATGGAGAGCAAACATCGACACAAAAGTGGGTTAATGAGTGCGCCTTGCGTACATTTTCAACCCTTTCTTCTATAGGCATTGCATCCAATCGATTGGGAGACGCAATGGCGATTTCTTCTCTCCAGCTCTAATTTCAGCTCAAGACATGTTATAATTGACGTCAGTCAATTTACGCGCAATCCTTTTGGAAACATACGATGAAATGTGCCCCAAAAAAGCCTTCTAACAAGTGAGAAAAGAGGCAAAACTTGAGGCAATATCTCGCAAGTGGTGTGTAATCTCGTGATGTTCCTCAGCACACACAAAACGAGAGGAAAAAAAAGAGCTCGCAAATTGAATAGGTTTTTTTTCGGGTTGGGAAGCTGATTTTTCAAAGGAATCAACATGTATACGAAATTTGCTGACCTTTCTCAATGTCTTCTTCAGTGGCGGGAATTCCTATTGTGATTTGTGTTGAGGCATTATGTGATTGTCAATATTCATGAGAAATGAAGTAATTTTGCGGGTTATCACGAAATCATCATGATAATCAATAATAATTTATGGGGTAATCAAGCAATTCCACTTAATATAAAAATCACCAGAGTTTAGCCAGCAGAGGAGGAAAAAAATTAAGCACTTCACTGGGGGAAATTGTGCAATTCTGGGATTTTTCTCACAGCAATCCTTCCACTGACCAAAACAGACTCCAGCTGATATTCACTGATCACGAAGGCACACACATTTCTTGAGGGAAGTGCTAAGGAAACTGAGGGTTTTATATCAAAAAGGTCGCGAGTGCTCGAATGAGGGAGAAAAACGCACTTGGTACTGTTTTATGTGGTTTTGATGTTGGGAGCATCGAGAGGGGGAGTGAGTGATGGAGAAATTGGGTGGGGAGGGGAGAGAGAGAGAGTGTGTGTGGTTATTTTTTCCGCAATTTATTGTCTTTACCCGCGAGCTTACTTGGGGATGAGAGACTTCCTTCTTTCGTACGCGAGCGAGAGAAGATACATTGCAGCAAATAAGCTCATCACTTATTCACATGGCGGATTATCAATCAATCCCCACTCTGAGGAATTAATTCATTTCACACAGATGATGTTTATGTGTAAGGCTAGTGGGGGAGCCTTTTTTCCAACTCGTCCCCAATACGAGAAAAAAACGGAGTTGCATCAATTTAGAGGTATTGCTGAAATCAATTATATTCTCATGGCGAATGCTTTTGTGATAAGCAAAAATTGTGACTTCATCAGAGAGACACACAAAAGCCAGTTTCTGGAATAATTTGGTATTTTTGAGAAAAATGCAGGATAAGTCCAGTTTCCGGGTTTAATATAAAATGACGAGGGCGGAAAAATACATTAAGAAACAACGTTGGGGAATTTTGCGAAAGCTTCCCAAGCAACAGGGCGAGTTGAAATAGCATTTATACACCAAAGTCGAGAAATACTACGAAAAAGTGCCCAAAAATTGGTCGGTTCTGGGTAATGAAGCGTACATTTGTCGGTCATTTAGAATACTCATACGACTGTATTCCGACCGGGAACTAGCGTCTTGTAGAGAATATTTTCTGCACTCTGTTTATTGACATCCCATCTCGGAAACCCATTCTCCGCAGGACTTTGCAGGAACGAATAATTCATAAGATTATTCGAGAACTCAATAAATCCATGCCAGAGGCTCTAATTGATTGCATTTTAAGCGCAAAAGTTTTCATGTGATTTCCTTGAAATGCGTTCAAGATGGTGGCGCTTCTGGCGCTTAGGAGACTTTAGCATGACTGCTATTTCGCAGTCTTTTGACCACCAATTTTTGACTACACTTGTGCAATGTCACTTGGGTATTCGTCAACTAATCTTAATTCACAAAAATCACATTGAGAATCTAGCAAGAGACTAAATAAGAAGATAAAACATTGTTTTTCTTCTATAAATACTCTTCGTTGCGAACGTTGTGAGTTCATAAGGCGAAAGGGTGTTTTTTAAAGTCTCATTTCCATAATAAACTGTCGCAATAATAATATCAATGATAGCTCAATACACACGAGCTTTAGACTTAAGCAGAACCTACCTGAGTGTAAATGTAGATGGGATTCGTTGTTGGCCGATAAATTTCCAGCATAGGTTTTCCATCTTCGGTGATTTGTCGGACAAATGGAATTGTGTTCCGCAGATTTTCGTCCTTCTTCCTCATGTCGTCCATTTCAAAGTATCTCGCGCTCTTTCTGGACTCAATACTAATTTGGCGCTGCTGTTGGAAGTTCTTCCGCGTATCGATGAGGTCCTCGTCCTCACTGGATAGATCCTGATGGGGGAATTTCGTGTTACTTTGAAGCTTTGAAGATGGAAAAGCAGTCTTACCTTCAGGTCAATGATAATGGAGTTGCTGTCGTAGCGCTTCTCGCGAATCAGACTCTTCACTTCGGCCTCGTAATCATCGTCACTGCTCGTTGCTGGCTCCTTGTCGAACTTGAAGGTGACTTTTGGGTCTAGACTCTGGTGCTTCCTGCCCTGGAAGTGCTTCCTGTTGTCCTTGAACTCCTCATCTGACGATGACTCCTTGAGGATGCTCTCCAGGAAGCGCGTGTGCCTCAGATCCAGGCTCACATGCTTCTTGGACTGGAAATCTTGTCGTTTGTCTGTATCACGGATGTGCTTGAGGTCCTGCAAAGGGAGGATTGTGTTAGTTTCACTGTCAGGATGAGTCTGGGTGTCACTTGATTACCTTGAGGATGCTCTTGGGATCGCCTACGGCGCTGCTCGCTTTGGGGCTCTTCTGGAAGTGATTGCGCCTCTCATCGAAGTCGTCCTCCTCGTCACTGGTGTCACCGGGCTCCTCCTGATCGCGCCCCGACAGCTGTGCGGCGCGCAGTTGCTTCAGTGAGCGCGCGAGTTCATTCTCCTCGAAGATCGTCCCGAAAGACTTTTGCTTGGCTGGCGGGAGGCTGACTTGTCGTGTCGGCTGGTGACTCAGTGGATCTGTGGCGTCCAGCAAGACTGTGTCTAAACTCGTGGATGTGCCAGATGTGGACAGTGTTCCGTCCTCAGCTTCAACACGTTGATAACCGTGATGGGAATCATCCTGGGTGGAAAAGTAGAAAAGAAGGGACAAAGTTCGCGGTCAATAACACATCGCACAATCAACATATTTGGTGTACAATTGAGAGCAAAGAAGAAGAAAAAGGAGAAAAAAAACCGCGAGACACTGATATTGAGAAGAAAGTCTGTCCATTGATTTTTGCTTGCTCTATAAATAAAATGGATTCTGATTCACACGCACAATTGGCGGGAAAAGGCAATGCTTTGGCTTTTCTCTCTTCTTGAGGACTCGCGCCACTGCAACCGTCAAATCGCCACGACTTTTAGCACAGCACTGTGATTACTGCTGGTCAAGTGGCTGTGCCGAATTTGGGGTAGAATCTGTGTCATTATCATTTTAGGAAAATCTCACACAAAGTTTATTGCTTGTGACTGTTTTTTTTTTCGCGCGCGCGAATTAGTGATACGCGACCTCTTCGCATTGAGCATCCATGGAATTACTTGGGGAATATCATTTATTATTCACAGCATTTCTTTTGCCCTTCAAGTGTTTCTTCATTTTGGGGGGGTGGAGATGAAAAAATTTCCATGAATACGGGGGAAAATTCCACTGAATATGAAGGAGTTCACGTGATAATATCATCTGATTGTGTGTACGGCGAGCAAATATTTGCCAAAGTGCATTTTGGCGCTCGCACAAAAAAAGAAAGAAAGAAAGCATCTTTTCCTATGAAGATTAGCGCGCAAGTGTGTTGAGTGGCTAAATAAATTTATAGTATCATCTGTCTGGAAGATGATTGTGGAGTTGTTTGTGATCGAGTGAGAGAGAGTCTCTCTGGACCTTATCGCACAACTGACTATTGCGGAAAAATTTACTGACGTCAACTTGTCTGATGTTCTCGCCTGGCAGCTGATTTTCCCTTTCCCCCTGAGGATGCTGTCCCGGCCAGATTAGAGCTTTTCCTTTGCTATCATCCTGACCCCGTGGATTTTAATGTGTTATCACAGGAGCCACTGTCCATTTTATTGTCCAATAGTCCCCAAAAGCATCGTAAGAAAAACACACAGTTGACAATATTTATACTCTCCTGACACTTGACCATATAATGGTCCAATATTCATTGAAAAATGAATTGGGTTGGGCGCTCTGGCGGTGTGTGAGACAGAAGGAGAGGAAAAAGACCCGCAAAATTAATTGAGAGAAAACAAAGCTGTGTAGAATAGACGGAGAGAGAGAGAGAGAAGGAAATCATGAGAAAGACATTACAAGAAATTGATGGATGGAAAAGTTTGGGGATCACTGAAGATGTCATATTACTTAATCGCTTGTTGTGCCCTCGAGAGATGCTTAGAGACAAAGGGGATTCATCTTGCCAAGGGGCGTGCAACTCTTTGGCGAAAGTGTTGCTGCGAATGCTCTGGATTCTTGGCATTATCTTGGCATTACTCTTAAATTGTTGAAGATGTTTCTGCTCACAAGCAAGCATTAAGAAAAATCAAACTTGACATATTTCACAGAGAGACATTTAGCACACAAAAAAACCCATCACTTTATGGATGATATTGATATCATTAAGGATGGATTGTGAAGATTTAAATTAATATTTATCCAAAAAACCATACAAGAAGTTGCCTGAAAGTCGAAACTACTCTTACAGCAGATAAAGAATCTGTTTAAGAAGCTTTCAAAGGCTGCATAGACGAAATATCATCGACAAATCTGTAGGAAAATATCCAAAAATTAATGAATTAACAATAGTGTGAATGACTATTGTGACTTGTGACATTGATATGCAATATATTTGGATCTTTTCCTGCCATTTTGACACCTAAGATTTCTCATTGATAAACTTGACCCCTTGGCTTTTGACATGTTCTGTTGCCATCCGGGAGATACATTTTGGATGGTGAAATATCATCTCTAAGCATTGCAAAGCACGGCAGATAAGGATTTTCAGGGCTCTCAAAGCATATTTTAAACTATAAAAATAATCCGGTTGAATCTCGAAATTGAGAGCGAAGATTGAACACTTTCTTACCCCATCACTGGTGATTTTCTTGATTTTATCCATGAGTTTCCCCATTCCACTCTGACTTCCATGCCTCTGATTTCCACTCATCTTGACGAGTTTGTCTTAAGGATTTTGTCTTTACTTATGCACACTTGCACTGAGAATTCCAACGGATTGTGTTTGAATGGCAATCACAGAGTTAAGATTGCTGGGTTTGAGTTTATTGTGTGGTGTTGTGAGAAGCAATTCACCACACTTTGGGTTGATGTCTCAACTTCACGCGAGCTTCAACGATTTTTGCTGTATTTCAAGTTCACACAAGTGGCCAGAAGGCAATTTCTTTCACGGGTTTTTCTCTCTGCGCGTGTAGAATATTTTCCACCTTGCAGTTCTCTTGTGCACTTGAGCAATTTTCACTGGGCGGCGATCGATTTTTTTGACACTTATTGCAATTGACTGCGAGATTTTTTTTTTGGTCAATCAACAATTAACATATATTCGTCTTGTGTACGTATTTTATAATTACGTAAAGTTGAATGCGCGCGCGTTGTATTGACATAAAGAATTTGTGAATAGTCCTTGTTTGTTCATTGCCCACAGAGAGAAAAAAGTTGCTCTTTTGCCAAATGATAACCAAATTTATTTTTTCAAATTCTTTTAACACTTCTTGGTAGCAAATTTTTCTTGTTGGCCTTTCGCGCTCGATTGCCAGAAGTGGCCACAGAGTTGATCACGTCTCGCCTCTGCGAATTTCACTGTGAACCTCACTGCAAATTGTGTTTTCCATCATTAAAAATTAGTAATAAATATTGTGTGTTTATTTTCTTAATTTGATTGTGCAAATATTTTATTTCTCCCCGATTAAGTTAAAATTCGCGGGGTGTGAACCAATTTTTTTTTTTCGGTGTGAATCCGTCAATGACTTGACTGGGTGAGAAAAGTTGTGTTCGCGGGTAAAAAGTTTGCCGTTCCGTGATATTTAGTATATGAACTGAAAAGTTAAGCAAATGTACGAGCGCTTATATAGAAATGAATGGTTTCGCCGTGAACATGTGTTGGAGGGCAACACTACATATCCAATTGGTTTTTATCTATACATCCACTTGGCGCCAGTGTGTTTCGCTGCGCGGTTCGCATGTGGTGAGCAGAAAATGTGGGCGAAGGGGCCTCGAGAAAGACACTGAGGGGGGTGGAAAGGTATGTATTGAGTGGTGAGATGTGTCTGTGTTGCCAGAGACACAAGATCGCAGTTTGCCAACAAGACTGACGTATAAGACGAGCCCCTCAAAATGCCTTCGCCTGTATGTTTTTAGTCCCAATGATCGCGCCTGACATCGTGTGATATCGATTCATGACTCGAGACACGTTGTTGATGACAATTATTTCGCTATAATTGAGACAATTAGCGTGGTGTGTTTTAAAAATACAAATTTGCAGATAAACTTGCGATATCAAAGCGAAAAAATTCGATATCTTCTACAAGATATGATAATCCATAAAAGCCAACTGCAACTGGTGATTCTAGCGGATGATGTAATATTTGCATAGCCTGATGTCATATCACACTTTACAGCCTGCAACTTTGACTCTATCCTAACCGGATGAGGAGTTCGGAGACTTTGGCATTGAAGGCGATTTGCAATGTCACGCCAAATCGTATGTAATATGATTAGGATTACACATGTTTAGGTCTCAAAAAATTTGGCAAAGACCTGGAAAAACTGTGACGAATTGCGAAATTGTGGTTCTGGATATCAATTTTTATTGATATAAAATAGTTTTCCGCAGCTGTGTTGCAAAAAAACAAATAAATAAATGTTTGTTTACTTATTGGCACATTTCTAGTCTAAATATTGAACTCTCGAATATTATAGATTAGTGTTAATGAATGTTAGGTTTAGGCACAATTCAAGGTATTTCAGCTCAACTGTGTATTGAACTCAATAAGGAAATCTTGAGCGAAAATACTTCTGATAATTCCTTGTTATCAGAAACTATCGCTTCACTTCATAATCTGACACTTAAGATAACAATGAGAGAGTCAAATTCCTATCAAAATACTTAAATGATTTTTTTCTAATAAAAGCATCGTTGCAACTTTGCTTTCATCGTATTTTAAATAAACTGTCAAAAATATGAATGAGAAGCGCTTCAAACGTTGACATTTGAAGCTAATTCATATATATTCACGTGAAAAACTAACAAAAAATGGACAATATTCTGCCCTAAAAACACCCTCAAAGAGGAAATTTCACACTTTAAGACGGTTTAAAAGTAGCCGCAATGAAAAGATTTTCTAACAGCCGAAATTCTGACACTAGTGCCACCATGCGGCCTCTAATATAAGCTATGAGAATGATAATTTGCAGCACTATGAATGATTTATTTATTCTATGCAGAAACTTACCTTTTAAGGTGTTTTTGAGTCTGGTTTTTTTTGTGTGAAACAACGCAAATAAAAATATATTTTACTTTGTATTTTTTGCGTGAAAACATTGGCAAAGTCTCTCTGTTCATTGAGATTTTCAGTTGGCAAGAAGAAGTACATGAAATTTTCCCTCTGCGTAAAAGAGATGATTGTGAGTGGGCAGAAATTATTGCGCAAAATAGAGTGCACTTGAGCAGGTGCTTTTGCAAAACTGTTTACAGATGGATTTCGCGCTTTATCATTGGGAAGTGTGGCTTAATTGGGTTCTTAGATGGGTTTTCTAGGCAATTTAATCCCAAATGCCGCAAGTCACACAAGAAACTTGTGATTTTCTTATTGACGACGTGCTTCTTCCAATAAAAGTCTAGACTCTGGGTTTGGTCGTGATAAGATTAATTCCTTTTGCGATTTCACACACATTGATTTGCAAGGGAATGCAAAACTGTCACTTTATTTCGTAATTTGCATAAGAACGAAGCAAAGAGAGCGGACTTTTCTTCGCACGCGACACAAAATGCGCTTCTGTTGAATGTCATTTGTATGTAATGAATAAATTTTCTACTACTTTTCCTCTCTTCTATTCTGTGTGAATTTGTGTAAGTCACAGTTGAAAAGGCTGTGCAAAAAAGATTCGATTTTCAATGTTATCACTCCACAATCATTCACCAAAATTTTCTTATCACAGCGACAAAAGAAAGGTGTTCGCGGGATCAAAATCTCATCAAGAGTACAATAGAAAATTGATTTGTTGGTGTAAAAAATGAATGGTGGAAAATTTTTGTCCATTTGCACATTTTGAATGTCTTGCAATGTTGTTGTTTCTCTTTTTTAGAGCATGTGTTTTATATGGAAATTTCCACAACTTACCACTCTTTCTTTGTGTGATGGGAATTTTGGGAATGGCCCAGAAATTCTCGGCAATTTTTTGCTATATTTCAATTTTCTTGGGAAGTCTTTTTTTTCTCTGCCGGTCAAGTGTCTCTGCCTTCCTTGAGGGCTGTCGATGATGATGATGATGGTGTTGTGACCAGCTGGAGGATCACTGAGAGACTGACAAAAAGACGCGTCGCAGAGAAAGAGCAGCGAAATATTACAAGCATGAAGAAGAATTTTAAACATTGTCGTCATGTTTTGAAAATATAACTTTTTCTCTTATTCATGACGATTGTGAACCGGAAAATTTCCAAGTGGGGCAGCTGTTGGGGGGCTTCTTTGTCTGGGGAAGAGGTTTTCAGGCTTTGTGGGAGGGAAGCTTGATATCAAGTTCACCTTCAGGTCAGTGTTGGCTCCTATAAATCAATGTTATGCGACTGTAGACACGATTTTGTTGTCCACTTCTGGATATTTTTTTTTCGGAATTGTACTAGGAATATGGACAAGGAATATTGGATCGGAATACTGTAGGAATATCGGAATATTTTAGGAATATTTTCAATATAATCAGGAATAAAATAATGAGGAATATTTGTACAAAACCCAGGAATATCCCGGAATATCGGAATATTGAAAATATTTCCCTTGCATTGTTTTTCCCAAATATTTCTGAATTTGAGGCAACATATTTTTGGCTTCTCCAAGCCATATTCCGATCCAGACATTTATCAAAGTGATTCATGCTCTTTAAAAGGGTTACTATCATAGTATTCGAAAGTTACATGGAAAGACATGAACAAGATTCAATTGAAATGCTTGCAGATTGCAAAGAAATCGAGTTCAATTTTGGTGCGTTGTGCATTTTTTTTCTCGCTTTGCACTCTTTTCCTATTTTCCCATGTATTTCCTTTCTTGTTTTTTTTTGCTATTATCAATATTTATCCCTCAAATATAATTTCTTTCTGAATAATTAGCCTCCCTCGCGATCGCTTTAAACTTGTCGGTCAGACGACGAGATCGCGTTCCAATATTCCGCTATTATATTTAATAATATTTAGGAATATTGTAGGAATTTTTGGAATATTGTAGGAATATTGGAATACGGACACGTTTAAAATCAGCTTTGTGTACCACTAGGAATTGTATCACGCCAAAGTGCCTTGCAATGGCATAATTTCACTTCTCCAGGTGAAAATTGTGTTGCTCTTCGCTGTGGAAAATCGATAAACAATTGATTTCCATGGAATCGCTAGGTCAGTGATTAGCCGGCAAAGAATCATGCAGAATTGACTCATATATCTTACTTTCTGAGCACGAAAATAAAACTATAAGAAAAAACTGCAATATATAGGCAGTAATTTACTCAGTGCTAATTAAAAGTCAATTGATTTGATTGTAAAGTATTAGCATAAATATGAAAACGTCAGTGATTTAGCAGTGACCTTCGGATACCACATTAGTATGCATTTTTTAGCTCGTAAGCGGAAAAAAAATTCACTATCTTTTCATGAAGTGTGCCCGAGATAGTGTGGATTCGTAATTAAATTGTGGATTAGGTTTATTGTTGGCAGAGTAAATTTCTGAAGTTAACATTCAGTGGAGTGTTTGAACAGAGAGAAGAGGTGCAATTTGCAGAGAATCACGCGCTATAAATGTGATTTTTCGTGCAGCTTTTTTGGAAAGGTTTATGCGCTGTGAAGTCGCTATGTTGGCGGTACTCAGGGCCTGAAGAGCCCCAGGTCGTGTTGGGGAGTTGATTGTCTAAGGCCAAATGTACTGTAAAAACATGGCATTTTATTGTTGATTTGTAAAGTAAAAGGTACAAGAGAGATGCACCTTGGAGATTTCCATTAATTAGATATTGTGAGAATTGATTTAAGTGGCGGTTTTGCCGATGTTAAACCTTGTGGGACACCATAAAGTTTGTGTTAGCTATTAATTAGACTCTTTTTCGTCTTGCTTAAAAAAGGATTTTATTTTATTCTTCCAATGGCGGGAACTCAGCGAGCACAAAATGCTAAGGTCTCAACGTTGAGGTTTAAAAAGCTAATTGTTTGGCTTTCTTTTGCTAAGATTTTAGCAGTTAGCGGCGACTACTCAAAGTACTGATGCGCACTTAAATACAAAGATGTCGCATCATGTAAAACCATGCAAAAACCATTCCATTTCAATAATATACTTCGTGACAACAACACTCAAGCGAATTGTATAAAAAGCGCCATGCAAATAACCTAAAAATTGAGAGATTTACAGGTTGTCAGACCTTATAAGTCCATATAAGTTGGACTTCCTGTTTCTTTGCTCAATTCTGAGCATAAAATGCTTTAAATTTACCAAGATATTTAGCGAAAAACAGCAGAAACATTCGAAAAACAGAGAAAATTGATGAAAAATTAGCTAACTGAAGCCAAAAAATAATTTACTTCATATTTTTCTTGAAATTGCTGCGTTTGTAACGCTTTTGAGTTTCCTTTTTTCACTTACTTATGGCTTAAACATCCCATAATAATTCTAGATTTTCAGTATCTTCCTAAAATATTCAAAAATTCTGAATTTTCATTTATATTTGTGATATTTTTGAATTTTTCCACTCAAAAATTGTGTAAAAAACTACCTGTCAAATATAAAAAATTGATTTTTTAGAATTATTTGACTAAAATGTGCTAGAAGACTCTTAAAAATCGACTTTGGAGAAAAAACATTTTCTTTTTTCTATAACTTTGACATATTTTAGTCAAAAATTTCAATAAATACCAAATAAAAGCAACTTTCTTTTACTTTTGTGGCCCTTAAAACATCCCATTGAGGGACACAGCCTTCTCCATTAAAGAAGATATCTAGACAAGTGTTTGTTTTCCGGTGGAAGATTGTCAGTTTGCTGACCAATCAT